TGTGACCAAAATGCAAGCTACATTGGCACTGATCGCAGTACTCCTCGTGCTCCAAAGGAGTGTAAGTGAAACCATTATGGACTATTTTATCAAACGAAAAAAGTAAAAATTAATAGCAAATTTATCTATATTTATAGGTATCCGCCAAACCGAATGATTTTGAAATTGTCTCTATTCCCTTTGACGCTGCTTCTAATGCACCTGGATTTTCGGWGGAAGTCATTATAACTAAACCACTTTCCGCTCCTGAAGCTTGTACTAACGAGCTCAATAGTTCTGTTCGGAAAGAAATTGCCGATGCTGAAGCAGACATTCACCAGGCATTGGGAATTCAACAAAATGTTGCTCAGGGAAATTTTCAAAACCTAAGCCAACTAAAAAGGAACTCGTAGCAAATATAAAGAAATGCTTTGCACTAAATGCAGGCCATATTTGCTATTTCTCGGCGGTATGTGAAAAATAATGTTATAATAGTACATAWTTTTGATTTATAACAACAACTTTTTGTAATAATATTATGTCAATTTTAGATGCAGCATACAATCCGGAAAATTCAAGCCCTGAACCATAATCATATTCCAGTTAGCAGTGCGCAAATATTCGTCCGTTTAGTAAAACTCTACAGGAGTTTAGCTAAAATATTTGCGAAATATAATGTTTGCTTATTACAACACCCGGAAGTTACATCCCCAAAACCAGAAATCTCGTCAGAATCCTCAGCTTATTCGCTGAGCTCTGAGTCAGAACCTACAACCTCTTCGCTGAGCACGGAAGACGGAAGTATTGATTCCTCAGAAGCAGGAGAGACCACAGCAAACCCAMGTTCTGAGTCCTCAGAGGCTGAAGAGGCCACAGCAAGCTCATAAATTCTTCCACAAACCTCGTCAGAGCCTCCGGCCTGTTCAGTGAGCACTGAAAGAAGAAGTTCTGRTGAAGTTATTTCTTCCACAAATTTTATAAAATACTATTATTTTCAAGAATACGTGAATTGTGGTACATTTTCGTAATAAAATTAWAAGAATTGCTTTCACTTATCTCACTTATTAGTAGGTCTAGGAAGAGGAGCTTCATTTCTTTTGTCGTCGGACGCGATGGTGGCTATTATCTCCATTTTATATGTATCCCACATATTGACCGATATTGATGGTAAAAAGTCAACAATATGTATGTTAATTCATTATTCCAGAAAGGTTTTATGCTGTTATGCTAATTGGCTCTTGATTATACACTGGAAAGGAAGGACACAAGTTATTTTTATTTATTTATTTATTTATTTAAAAGAGAACTAATTATAGATAATGAATCCACTTGTAAGAATCAGCACTGG